CTCGTCCTCCGTCCTCCTCTATAATCTTGATACTTTCCAATCGATAATATCAAGCAGACAATATATAATAATTTGACTTGTAGATTTATTCGAAAAAGAAATTATTTAATCTTTCGATCGAAGTTATCTGCTGTATCTGGAAAGTATCGGGCTGTTTAAATTTAAGGACTCTCCTCATCTTGAAAATCTGTTTTGTTCTTTACTTTCTTTCTCTTATTTTTTTTTTTTCTTCTTAATGATTTATTAACAATTTTACAGCTTTGAGAAAGACAAAAGACAAGTAATATTTGATCGATCACGTTCGACATTTTCGAATCGATAGATCTGTGCCTTGACCCTAAGTTGAATGTCAACGAAGTAAATGGGTTCGTTTAATTTCAACGAGAGAGAAAGAGAATGAGAGAGAAAAAGATCGAGATAAAAGCTGAGAGTGAGAGAGAGAGAGGGAGGGAGGGAGGGAGGGCCAGTATGGTAGGGAAAAGGGTTTGCCTAAAGTATTCGGAATAGGATGCCGTAGTACGATACATCGAAAGGCCAAAGTCAGGATGCAATACTTTCGATCTTGATTGGGATCGAAGCCAACATTCCTCCTTTGCTAGACTACTTGACGTATCTCGACGATGTGATAATAATAAATATACGTTTAATTACATGTGTCGAGGATAGAGAGCAAAAGAGAGGGGGGGAGAGAGAAAGAGAGAGAGAGAGAGTGAATCTTTGATTTGTTTATTAATGATTTGCATAGAAGAATAAAAAAAGAAAAGCAAATAAATTATCAATTTCGTTTGATGGATAGAAAGATAGATAGATATTGCAGAAAGGTTTATAATTATCGAGATGAAAATATAGATAAGTAAATAGATAGATAAACGGATAGAAGTAAGATAGCAATTGAAAACTATTAGTGCCTTCGAAGAATCGAAAGATTACATTGCGAAAGAGCAAAGTGGAATAAACCGTAATTTTATTATCATACTATTAACGATCATCAAGGCACAATATTTCGTACGATGATCCTTACTACTTGACATTGTTAGTGATAAGTCGTCGTCGTGTTTAGAATGAGACAAGAATAGATGACAGCAATGTTCTTGATGAATGAAGTTCATAGGTCGTTGAATAAAATGGGTTAGCCTCTCAGTTAAAGACTATTTCTCTTTCTAATTGTCTTTACTTTTTAAACAATTAATCTGGAAAAATTGTATTAACATTTTATTAACTTTACTCTTTCTTACTCGTTTCTTACTAATTCAAATCCCAATATATTACATTTTAATGAGTGAATGATGATTTTTAAAACGATTATAACGGATAGAAAGAAATTTTTAATAGATTATATTATAACGTATAGATTAGCACTTTTAGGTATTTTATTGATATTTGAATTGATTAAAGTACAAAGAAAATTTTCGAGACAAGAAAATACGTACGACAAAGATTCATCAACTTTATCAACATTGTCTTTTACTAATTAAACTCTTACACACATATATAAATATATATTATATTTCAAAGTAAATAATAATATTCTTTTTGGGATGATTGGAATCTGAAGAAAATATTTCCCATTTTTTTTTTTTTTTTTTTTTTTTTTTTTTTTTTTTTTTTTTTTTTTTTTTAATTAATATCCTATGCGTTTGATTAGATTCCAAATAAATATGAATAAGAAGTAGAGTGTCAGTGAACGCTAAAACGTCATCGAGTCGGTCAATCGAGATAAAACGTACAGCCTGTGAAGTATAATAAGAGAGGCGAGAAGGAAACATGCCAATTAAGAAGAAACCATCGGTAAAGTCATTGACATAGCATAGCAGTCGAGATATATCGCCAAGAGCGATGGCCACTTGAAATATTTCCAAGCGTCTCGTGGGTGAAGCGCTTTTAAATTTGAAAGTACCGCTATCTGTGTTCTCTCTCTCTCTCTCTCTCTCTCTCTCTCTCTCTCTCTCTCTTCGAGCTTGAATATATTCGTGTTGCATTAGATAAAGAGAGTGAGAAAGAAAGAAAGAGAGAAACTCGCGAAGTATGTTTGAGGACGACACTCAAGATGGTTTAATTTTATGACCGACGATAATGTACTTCGAAGTGCATTTTATGTTGCACGCACATATATGTGTGTCCACCTAATATGGTCATAGTTTCTTTTTTCTTCTTTTTCCTCTTTTTCTTTTCCTTTTTTTTTTTTTCTCAAATCAGATAGAAACAATTTCGATAGATAGCATATATATTTTTATATATATTTATATAAATATATATAAAAAAAAATATATATATAAATAACATTATTATAGCATACATATATATATATATATATTGATAACATATATATTTCTTTGTATGAAGAATAATTAATTACTTAATGATCGTTTTTGAAAAATGCATGCACAGAATGGCAAAGAATATCGATAAGCTCGAATTAATTGAACAGCGATTATTTGTTCAGCTGATCGATTATATGTATACGTATATATGTATATACATATATGGCACACCCAGTAATCAAGGAAATATCTATGTAAGAGCAGTAAATTTGACTTTCGTAATGATACGTTCTTCGTTTTCTTTGCTCTATCCTTTGTCGCAATACCAAACCATATTAGGATACTTCGTCGGTGTCTTTAAACGTTTATTCGCATCACGGGCTCGATCATTTCTTAACTCATGATCTCGATCAATCAATACTTAATATATAATTATATTATCAATTACAAATATTCTAATTATTTAAAAGCAGACAAAAATTTTCATCCTCTTTCTTATTCAACATTAAAATCAAATTAAAATTAATATATATTAAATATAAGTTTTTCTTTGTGCATATATATATATATATTTTATTTTTTGTTTTTACATAAAATGATAAATTGGTTTATAAAGGATTAAAAAGAAATTCATTCTCTTCGAAACTAAATTTAGACTAAAAGTCTCAGCCGCATAGTCATTTCTACATAAAGAAAAACTATGACGGACGAATGACGGAATCGTTGAAATTAACAAAGGAAGAAGAAATACTTCGTGGCAATGTTTAAGTGTCTAACGAATACCTAAGAAAGTTATTCACTTAATGGCTAATGACAAAAGCACTCAACTAATGTTTCTCTCTTTCTCTCTCGCTCTCTCTTTCTTTCTCTGTCTGAGATTTTGTTCGAAAGTATTTAAAATCACGTAAGATGTCAAACGTTTTCTTTATCCGTACAATCGAAGTTTATTTAGTCATTTTAATAATTCAGTACCATTCAATATTATATTCTTCTACCCACACATTCGTGCATACAATAAATATTAATTTTCGAAAGATGAAAAAAAAGAAATACATATGGAATATTGTTCAACAGGAACAAATATTCTTGAAAAATATTCATATATTTTTTTCTTTGAAAAGTACATTAACGAATTTTAATAAACTTATTCGAGTTCGATAGATTTGTAAAAGATTGTAAAACTTAGTTTTAACGATACTTACATGTATATATTTTTTTCCTCTTTTTCTCTTTTTTTTTATCTCTCTCTCTCTCTCTTTCTCTCTCTCTTTTTTTTTTTTTATTACAAATTCATTCGAAGATACATTAGACGTAGTTTATTTATCGAGAAAACAGATTGAGACATTGAGAAGATTCTTTATTTACTTTCCTCTGTTAAAGAGAGAGAGAGAGAGAGAGAAAGAGAAAGAGAGAGAAATACACATGCCTTCTTAATGGTAAAGTTTAAATGGAAGTTTGGTATATTCAGTCGAATGTTGTTTCTATTTTTTTTTTTTTTTTTTTTTTTTTTTTTTTTTTTTTTTTTTTTTTTTTTTTTTTTTATTGTTGATTCGATTAGACCTTAGTAGTTTATGAATCAGACATTCGGCGTACGTACGTACGTATATACGTACGTGCGTTTATGTTTATAAACATTGGCTATGATCTTGACGATACCTCCCAACGAGAGGTGTTCACTTTCTTTCACATTTAGTTCGTTCTTAGACATCAAGACTTCAAGACGTCTTCTCTTTCTCGAGGCATTTGAAAAATATTATATATAATCTAATAAAGGTATAAAAATAATTAGACAATAGAAATTTATTTCGTTTCATTTATACGAAGAAAAAAAGAAAACATTATTCGTTGGAGAGTATAGGGTATATTTTATAATATGAATTTCGTCCTCCTTTATTTCTAAGCTATCAGATAAATATATCTCAGAATAATTCTCAAATGATCCATAATAACCTAATAGCTCTTTGTCGGGTCACATTATCGTGTTACGTTATGTTAAATGAAATTTATCCCTTGAGATAAGTCCATTTTTTTTCCCCTTCTCTCTCGTGGGTCCTATTGTTGTTAATAAAAATAAACTTCTAGGGTCAATTGTTGAATAAAATTGTCATTTAAGAATAAAAGATATAAATAACGTGGTTAACTATCGTAATAACAGAGCTTCTTTGTTTTACGAATGATCATGCTTAAGAAGAAATTTCAGAGTTAAAAGGGGCATACTTATCAATAATAGTACTTTAAGTACTGAAAGAAGTATCTGACGGGAGATGAAAATAACATACGTATATTTCTTAAAAAGGATTTGATAAGAGAATGAACAAATTTAGCATGCACTTTTCGTCGTCATGCATTTCTTCATTTTTATTTTTTCTTTCTTTCTTCCCGCCTCTTTTTACTAATATTCTTTAGAAAAGGGGAACACAGAATTCTTCGAATAAATATTAACGATAGAGATAAGATAAAATAGTCAGTGTGTTGTTTATCTTTGACGTAATAATATCTTCTAACGATGAGTCATACTTTGAGCTTGAACAGAGTAATGACAACAAAAGATTAAAAAGTTGTCGACTCGAAGGATGACACCGAAAGTATTAATCAATGATATATGTTTCTCTTTTCTCACAACATATCTTATTTTTGTGTGTGTATATATATAAAATTTGTTTTGTTTTGTTTTGTTCTTTTTTTTTTTTTTTTTGAAATTAACACATGTATATCCTCCCTTTCTCCTTTTTTTTACAGACGAAAGAGACGCCATACAAAAGAAGACCTTTACGAAATGGGTGAACAAACACTTGAAAAAGGTAATATACAAAGTTCATAAATTCATTTAAAAAATTATCGGTCGACGAATCTCGACGTGTTTTTATTTTTTTTATTTTTTTATTTTTTTTCATTTTTTTTCTTTTTTTGTTCTCCTAAAAAGAAGAAGATTATACTCATTGTTGAACTGTCGAACCTTTCAAAATAATTTCGACAAGCTATCATAAAACTTTCATTGCAATGACTCGACGAAATGTTTATAGTTTTTGAATTACATCATCGTGATACCTGAAGTATATCTTTAAGATAGCAGCTCATATATTTTTTGTTTTTGTTTTTGTTTTTTTTTTTTTTTTTTGTTTTTTTATGACAAGATACTTGACAATTAAATGATACATCTGTTTTATCTAAAAGTATGTATAGACAATGGTTTATTTTTGATAATGTAAGATTATCACTAATATGCCATTAGTCTAACACAAGGTATAAATCTTTTACTCTTTGATTTTGTACCGTACTTCAGTCGATATTTTGTAAAAAGAAAAAAAAAGTTATATTCCTCGTTCCGTTAACGGCATTTTATTGTTACATGTAGATAACGAAGAACGTGCGTGGATAACGTTTATCGATCGATTCTATATTTTCATTTATTAAAGCGATTCGATCTATATTTTTACATTTCTTCTTCGATAAGTCGAATCGTTATGGATCTAAAAAATATTGTAATCTAAATAATATCTAAATAATATAGGTATATGTTAAAAAAAAAAAAAAAAAAAAAGAAATATATATATATAGGAATGAAATAAATATTTTATTATTGATATATGTCTCAATATATCGATCTATCAATATTACATTGATTATTTAGTAATTAGATTCGATCTATATTAAATTTTTAATGTTTATTTTACACTTTTATTTTAATACCTATAGATTAATATTAATGAATTTTTTTTTTTATCACTTATCGTTATTTATTTCATTTCTACATACATACATACATACATACGTATATATATATATGTGTATGCATGTGTGTGTGTAAATTTAAAGTTATACATCAAAATATCGGATAACATATTATCTTGTACGAGTATAACGACGATGACATCATTAACAATAATTACAAAGAGACAGAGAGACAAAGACAACTGATCTCGAAAGTGACAATGGTATTATATGTCCACTTATGTTGTGTATATATATATTTTTTTTTTTTTTTTTTTTTTTTTTAACACGAGCCATTAAATTTCACGAAACGTTGACCAACCAGTATATATACTTTTCGTGCGTGAAAAGGGACTAATTGATTTTTGCATCTTCCATTTGGGTAGTATTTAAAGGGGCAGAAGTTTAAAGAGAATTTATAGCTTGTAATATTTAGGCGGCAGCTTTGTTTAAATGACGACCTTCTGACGTCATCCTATTTCTTGCGGTAACAGAGTGAAAGAAAATCAAGATGCGACACGCTATCCGATTGAGAACAATACTAAGAGACTCGATACTTATTATTTCGTCTCTTTCTTTTCGTTTTGTGCTCTTCTTTCTTTACGTATTTAACGCACGATTCTTATCTTTCTTGTCTTTCGATGTTTATATAGATATATATATATATATTTTTTTTTTTTTATTTCTATTCCATAATTTTTATTACAATAATTTTTCACATTGAATGATCGTCATTTTAACGAATGACGATGATGATATTGATGATAACTATTCGATCAAATAATATATATATATATATATATATATATATATATATATATTTGTGTATTAAAAAATTGAACGATTTAGAATAATATTAGAAAATATTTAGCAAAGTGTTAGAATTGCAAAGGATAAATAAACTGATATTGTTTCAAAAGATTCGTTTTTATCATGATAGACAAAGCCAAGTGAATCACTATACTTATAGTATGTGACAGTAGTGTATCTTGATAAATCCCGATGAGAACATAGTGATTCTTTTTCGACTGAAATAAGGCTTCTCTGATGTAAGGTAAAAAGAATAGAGAAAAAAGAAAAGAAAAAAGAGGAAGGGTTGTTGTATAGAGAAAGAAAGAGAGAGAGAGAGAGAGAGAGAGAGAGATAGAACGGTATCATCGAAGAGGAGGATATTTTCGAAGGAGTGGAATTTTTCGAAGGAACGCCTTTGATTTTTTCTCTTCTTCTTTTTTTTTTTTTGTTTTTTTTTTGTTCTTCTCTTCGATTTTTGTCTTTTTTACGTACGACTGAAGCGGAACGAGGTCGCGTTCCTTCGCACGACGCTCCTGCTTTATAACTCGATACGTGCGGTTGGTAGTATATATACGTGATGTGAATTCTCACACGCAAAAGAGAGACAGAGAGAAGAGAGAGAGAGAGAGAGAGAGAGAGAGAGAGAGAGAGAGAGAGAGAGAGAGAGAGAGAGAGAGATACTTGAGGTTGGTCGAGCTCTATTCCAACGTAAAGCAAGATGCGCATCGTTTCCAGTTTCTATCACTCTTTGCGAATCGTTTTTTCCTCCCTAAATGGTATATACATCTTTTTCTCTCTGTCTCTCTCTCTCTCTCTCTGTTTCTCTGTTTCTCTGTTTCTTTCATTTTGAATGAAAGAAAAAAGATATGTCATTAATAATCGTGAAAGAACGAGAAGGAAAAAGAAATTATTTTTCATTGTTTTAATATAAATCGAGATAAATAAATGGAACATTTCGAGAGAAACTTAAGAAAAAAAGAGGATGGGAGAGCTCGTATAAAAAAATAAAAAATTTGCAAAACAGAAAAAAAATCATATATGTCAATTGTAAAGTTTGTCAACGTGGATCGATTCGATTACACGATATATTCATGAGCAATTGGAATCATTGATTAAATGAAGTCCTTCTCTTCCGTCTCAATGTCGTCCGTCGTTGACCTCCTCCTCCTCCTCCTCCTCCCCCTCCCCGCTCCCTCTCTTCTGCCTCTCCTATTCTCTGTATGTATACGAGACGGGAGAATTTTATACGAATTGAAACGAACAGGACAGAACTCGAGGAGAATAAAATCAATGCGATAACAATGTGACGAAATTAAACCACAGTAAACTGCGGTTTTCCTCTTTTTTTTTTTTTTTTTTGCGCGCGAAATGAATAAAAGAAAAAATAAAGGAAAGAAAGAACGAGCATTAATTCGAACGTTTTTTGCGTGTTCGACGAAGTCAATGAAAAGATCTATGACGATCGAAGTGTTTTCGAGTAACTTAAATCTCCTTCGTTGTATATTTTTTCGAGTAAAAAAGAAAAGAAAAACAAAAAAAAAAAAAAAAAAAAAAAAGAAAAAAGAGCTCATAATGAGAGGAAATCGTTGAAGATAAAGGACGATGAAAAGTCGAAGAAAGTATTTATGTTACTTTAAATCTTAGATCTCTTCGAATTAGTGAGTTTTATTATCGTAGGAAAATAAATGACTCATCAATGACAACAGCAACAGCAACAGCAACAGCAATAGCATAAGTAACAATGTTTTATTCGAACCAAAGCTAAAGTATGCGCTCGTATAATATGGAAGGGAAAAAAGGGAAGGCGAATCACAACCGTATACGATCTCGAAATTGTCTCGTTAACGTATAATCCCCTCGAGTTAACGTCCCTCGTATTCTATCTATCTCTCTTTCTTCTTTTATTTCTTTCTATCTTTCTAATCTCATTGTCCATTCTTTTATACGTAAGTACATCGATATATCGGGGGCTTTTTAACTTCGTTCAAGTTAATATCGAAAATCGTCCCTTTAATTTCGTGAGAAAGTATGTTTTAAATCGTTGACGTTCGTGGGATCCCTCCTCCACTTTCTTTCCTACTGATATTTATTTATTTATTTATTTATTTATTTATTTATTTATTTATTTATTCAGAGCATTTCTTTTTTGCCATGTAGTTCCTGGAAAATATTTTCTTCTATTCTAATTCTGTTGGAGTATCTTGAATGGTTTAAAGATGCGGAATAAATATCAGTTTTATCCATCTATGGATGGATAGATTGGTTGGATAGATGGGTGGGTTGTTGAATTCATGAATGACAATTAATAGTTCTAAGTATTCTACTCGTTTTTTTTTTTATTTTTTTTTTCTTCGTCTAATCGTTGACTGTCTTAATCGTATTAAATATATGTATCGCATTAGATAATCGTTTTAGATATGTATATATATAAATATATATACTTTTATTTATTTCATATTATTTATCTCGTGATTATATAAAACTTAATATTCCTGCTCTCTTCGTTCTCAAGTTCTTTTTTTTTCTTTTTTTCTTTTTTTTTTTTTTTTGTTGTTTCATTTTCGTCCTTGGCATTATGGATTGCATAATTCGTAGCATAATAAAGATTCCTGTATCTGTCTCTCGTTACGTCAGCTTCCATATGATATTTCTTGCCTAAAGGAGTTCACGAATAAATGAGATTCTTTGTATTATTATTCTTTAGATCTTTTCTTCTTCTTCTTCTTCTTCTTCTTCTTCTTCTTCTTCTTCTTCTTCTTCTTCTTCTTCTTCTTCTTTTTCAAATAGTTTTATTTCATTTCAAATCGGATGATTCATTATGATATTGTGATTAAATTGTGATCGTCCTTCTGAGTTTTAAAATACTTTGATTACTTAGAATGAGTATCTCGTAGTTATATTTAACATAAATCTCGTTATCCTTACATTCCAATGTTTGATATAGTATACTTGATTGCAATAATCTATCATATTACAGAACACGTATATGTATCGATAGTATACTTTATATGGATAGATTGAATTGCTTTGTACCTATCGAATATTAATTTAAAGAATAGAGACAATATCCTATTGTAGCTACTCGAGAATATTAAATATTAAAAAAAAAAAAAAAAAAAAAAAAAAAAGAAGAAAAAAAAAGTAAAGTAATAAAAAAAAGAAAAAAAAAAGAGAGAGAAAACTTCGTAACAAATAATTTGATATAAAAGAATATCAATTTTGACGTTCAATCTTATTAATGCGATTTATTACATGTAATGGCGGGAAAAAAAAGGAACAAAAGAAAAAGCTTATAAATGCTAGTAACAGTAGAAATTTTCACATAATCTTAGTCTCATCCGTTAAATCACTTAGGTTTACCGTTCGTAATACGCAATCTTTTTATCACTTCTTGTTTGTTCATCGTTGGTAAAACTTAAAGCGTGTCGTTAATACCGTCATCGGTTTATTTTCATCATTGTATAACTGGTAGGTAACGATGTGTGAATTATCGCTAGTTTACAGAGAAATCAGTAAGAAAAAATATATCGTTAAAACGATAATAGTTATCTTCAATTAATTTCTAATCATTTGATTCGTCTAATGGGAAAAAGGTTACATGTAATTTTTAATTTTAGAATTGAATGATGCTCGATCGAGAAATACTAAAAAAAGAAAAAAAAAAGAAATTAATATTTTAATTCAAATTAAAAATTCATTGAATTCGTAATAAAAATTGTCATTTAAAAAATTTTCTGATCTTTCTCTCTCTTTTCCTTTAATCATGCAGATGATCATGCAGTTAAATAAAAATAAAGGACATTTTGACATTGATACTGAGACATTGATTTGAGTAAAATTTGTGGATTTAAATGCGAATGAAAAATTGATTATTAAAATTTAGGAAGAAAAAGAAAAAAATTTCTATAAAGATATATAAATAAATATTAGGATAAATAATTCTAATGTTTTTCTCTTTGTGTTACGAGATTGCAAGTAGGCTGAATTTCCAGTCTTGGACTGTTCGATTCGCCATCGTGTTCGCGCCCACGTTCGATCTCGCGAGTCTGACCTTATTCGGAAACCTTCTCCCGCGCCCACTTGATCCTTGCTCATTTCGTTACCTCCTACCGGTGTGAGCTGCTGCTATTGCTGCTGCAGTTGCCGCTGCAGTTGCCGCTGTTGCTCTTGTTGTTGGCTATAGAACTTAAGATTGGGTGGGGACAACTCGAGATTGTGGCGCAATCCTTTTAAAGTGGGTGCACTTTTAACGTGACATTCGTCCGTGTGTTCTGTGTGTCATTGCGTTAAGGCGCCACAATTCTTTAATCGACAAAAAACATAAACTAATCTGTTTCCTTTTTGTCTCTTATATCAGCAATTTCTTTTTTTTTTGTTTGTTTTTTTTTTTTTTTTTTTTTTTTTTGTTTTAATACAATCTAATTTGGAATTGGTTTATATTTGGAATTGGATATTATTTGGAGATTTTTTTTTGTGTTTTAATACTGTTTATAAATGGCTCTGAATTTTATGTCTCTTTTTCTTTTATTGGATTTTAAAATGCTAGGAGACAAAGTTATTATGACAATAATAATGTAATAACTTTATTATTGTTATTATTACTATTATTATTATTATTATTATTATTATTATTATTATTATTATTATTATTATTATTTGCCATTTTAAATTGATACAAAATACAAAATTATATATGCAGGTAAATAAAGATAAATTTTTAGCGTAGCATCGTTTAGTTCAAAAAAAGAAAAAGAATAAGATATTTCTTAAAAATTGTCATAAACGAATTCATGTTTTTCTTTTTCTTTTTCTTTTTCTTTTTCTTTTTTTTTTTTTTCTTCTTTTTTTTTTATAAAGATGAGCAAGCGCGTTCTACGCTACGTAAATTCTATTGATTTGATTTTTCAAGAGATAGAGTCAATCGATGGCAATGCATTTGGTTAATTTCCAGTAAGCGTGATTGGTTCAGCCCGTTATCGGGGTCGTACGGTATTTTAATGGATGACTTTCGTCACTCCCGCAGTCATTACTTTGTGTACAGCTTGAAGGCAGAACGAACGCCCGTATCTGGTTAAGAACTGGAGCGGCAATCCCACACGCATCGAACTTCTGAAAAGTCATTGCAAAGGAAGGACTTCGTAAAAGTTTTTTTTTCTTTTTTTTTTTTTTTTTTTTACAGAAGCGACGTTGTTTATGTGTTCATCTCTTTCGTTCCAAAAAGACGAAATAGAAGATAGATAGAGAAAGAGAGACTTTTCTCGTATAACTTCTTTTTTCTTTTTACGAGTTTTATTACTGAGAATACTCAAACAAGAATTTATCTCTCTGTTTTACGAATGATAAGAGATAAGAAAGAGATCATTTATTGAGATCTATTCTTCTTACCTTTTTAACACGTCGATGATTCTCGTCTTTGAGATATTTAAAAAGTAATAAAAAAAAAAAAAAAAAAAAAAAAAAAAAAAAAAGAAACTTAAAAAACAAATATTTAATCATCATCTTAATCACCAATCTCTTCGATTTTTTCTTTTCCTCTTCTTTTTCTTTTTTTTTTCCTCCTTTTTTTTTATATGTTTATCTCTTTCATGCATACCTACGACAGCATTGGAAATATGTCAAGGTAAGTAAGGGATACATCCTTACGATAACTTCGACTTATTTTATTCAAGACACGCCACAATGATCACACTTTTTTATATTAATATATATATATATATATATATATATATATATATATATATATATATAAATGCCACGTAGATAGGCTATACTCACATACACATACATTAAAAATAAAAAATTATAAAAGGGGGACCACTAAAAGAAACTTGCTTTTCCTCTTATATGTACATATTCATACATACATCCATACATATACAGATGCATATGTATATACAATTCATACATGTTTACATCATATGTATGTGCGCGTTTCGATCATTGAAAAATTATTTTTATGATAATTATTATTTCATCATTTTAATCGAAATAGCCTATACGTTATTAAGACATATATACATATATATTTATGTATATACATACAATACATATCATACATACATATCATATAGACAATTTATAACACAACTTTTCTCACAAACACGGTGTTGGTTTCATCCATGTTTCTTTCAGACTTACACGTGCCTGCACGTGTGCGTTCTTGTCAACAACCAACCATGCTGCTCCCCCACCGTAAGTTCCATGGTTATTGCATACGATCGTAAAATTGTAACAAAGCAAAACAGCAGCAGCAGCAGCAGTAGCAGCAGCAGTAACATCAGCAATAGCAACATCAAAGCATATAATTTGTTATGCCTGCTTTTTCTTTTTTTTTTTTTTTTTTTTTCTTTTTTAATGAACCTTATCACTTATAGCATTTAAAAGTTCAACTTTGAAAAATCGTTTATGCTAAATACTTCGGTTTTTTTTTTTATCTTCTTATCGATTATGTCTCTTTTATTTATTACAAACTAGTTTTGCAGAAAGCTATTCATATCGGTTTAATGTTCATTTTCCATTAAAATTATTCACAAATTTATCTGAATAATTTTATAGAAACAAAAGTCGGGTATATTAATCGTTAAATGATACATAAATCATTTGTACTAAACAAATTAATTCATTTGAAAATCGTTGCTGCTGTCAGCGCATGGCAATTTCCAAACTCCTCGCTTATAACTTTATTATAATAAACATTTATTTTATACGTCTATATCACGTATACGTCCTCACGATTGCCTGTTTTTTTTTTTTTTTTTTTTAATATTTATTCATTGTATGCATGATTTTAAAGCGAATTCTTAATCATTCCATTTGTGCTTGATTTAATAATATATTAAATTTATAATCATGAACGCTATTGAACTTTGTTCTTTGAATGTTTATAATATTTTATTTAATTCGTGTATGAGATCTTTCTTTTATTATCCTAATCTCGTTCGTTGTTTATATAATTGCACGATAACGCACGTAATTTCACCTTAGCACGGTTTTTTTCAATATACGTTTCAACACACGGCACAATACACAGCACAATTATACATAATGTGTATCCATGATCTTAATTTATATGTAATTTATCAAATGAATTATTTATAAATACAATTTATTTATTATATCTTTTTTATTTCGTACGATTTATTTTGATGATATATATATATATATATATATATATATATATATATATATATATGCGAGTGATCATTTCAAATGAATCTGTTTTTATGGTTTAATAAATAGTTTCGAGTCCGATGTGTAAATAATATTTTTAGATAAGACAAGATGATAAGTAAAAACGATTGATTAGTATTAATGGAGTAAGAGAGAGAAAGAGAGAGAGAGAGAGGAAGAGAGGAGTCATATATAAACAAAACATGACTAATATTTAGGATAATCATTTATCATTAGTCTTGTAAATCGAATTATTTTTAAATTAATTACTGTTTAATTTATTATACGTAATAAAAATTAGATGTACAATATATTTCAATTAATTGATCCGTTTATAATCATTGGAATTGTATTTGTTATATTTGAAAGAAATTCAGATTGTCTTTTGAAATGATCCTAGTACAATCAATATATGTCTTCACGATGATCTGTAATTTATAATGATTATAGTAATAATTTGAAAGATGCATCATTTTTTAATATTTCTATTTTTTATTTATTTATTTATTTTTTTTTTTTCATTTCTTTCTCTTCTTTCTTTTTTATTTTAATTTTAATTTTGATTTTGATTTTTATCTGTTTTAGGCCAGCAGACATGTCGGAGACCTGTTCGAGGACCTGCGGGACGGGCACAACCTTATCTCCTTGTTGGAAGTACTCTCAGGGGAGCATCTTGTGAGTGTTAAAAATCATTTAATCCAATAACAATAGAATGCATTAGAAAATATTAATTATTTACATACATTTATTATTAGATTCGCGAAAGAATTTTTTAATAGCAATAATCTGTGATACATAGCTAAGAAATTATATTATTAATAGGATTAATTTTGAATAAGTTTTTATTGGATAATGTTCTTATACAATATGTAATAATAATAATAATAATAATAATAATAATAATAATAATAATAATAATAATAATAATAATAATAATAATAATAATTGTTCTAATTCTAGCCACGGGAAAGAGGAAGGATGCGTTTCCACATGTTGCAAAACGTACAAATGGCACTCGATTTTCTTCGATACAAGAAAATCAAGCTTGTAAACATACGTGCCGAGGATATCGTTGATGGCAATCCTAAATTGACACTTGGCCTGATTTGGACCATCATACTGCACTTCCAGGTAGGTGATCACAAATATCAATACTGAAAGTTAAAATAATTTTCGATTTATTACGTTCCTTATTATTCCTTTTTTTTTTTTTTTTAATATTTTCGAATTGTTTGATTGATTTCATTGAATTAGAACGAGTATATATATATTTATTTAATTTGTTTCTTAAAATAATTGACAACAACGAGCGGTGAAGATCGAGAGATGAAAAATTGATTGGATTATAATTTGTAGATTTGATAATTTATTTAGAAGACAAAGAAAAAAAAAACAAATAGATCAGGGACACATTATAGGATAATAATTTGATTGATTTGGGGGGAAAAAGAAAATAAAATAATAATAATGTATATTCCTTTTAATTTTGTAAATTCGAAATAATATCTAAACGTGTTAAAAATTCACTTGGAAACGAAGGGATGGTTTTAGGTGAATTTAAAAAATTATCAATCGCCTCTTTGTTAGAAATCGTCGTATGTATGTACATAGTAATTGATATTAGAAGTAAAGACAGAGATTCGCACGGATGTTATTATGTAAACGGAGGGAGCATGGTTTGAACATTTCGCGCCATAACCATTCGTCTTCGGTCTCTTCGTGTGAAACTTGGATGGCTTAGCTCGAGTGATTCACTGCTGCGTATTTTTGGTACGCGCGATACGATTTCTCTATGTTTTATACTCTCTCTCTCTCTCTCTCTCTCTTTCTCTTTCTCTCTCCTTTTATCTATCTCACTTTCACAGGTTATTCTCGATTTTATAGACCGCCGTACATGTCGTTTCAACGAGTTTATCGCACCCTCCTTAGGTCAAATTCGCAAATCTTCTAAATTAATTGACTTTTCTTCTTCTTCTTCTTCTTCTTTTCTTTCTAAGACGAGCTTATCGACTATTCTATTATTTTATAACAATTATCGAATCGATTAATTCAATAATTTTTATAATATCGTAATTAAAATTATCTGTAAATGTCATTGTGAATGTTTCGATGATTATTAGCACGAGTATTAGGAAAGATCAAGAAAAGTATTTTCGATCGTGAAATCGGGGAAATATTAAAAGTAAAATATAACAAAATCGAATTAATGTTCGAATTTACCGTGGTGATTAGTCAGTCGATTGATCGATATTGATTTAAATTAATGAAATCGCTTTGTAAACGTGGACATTTAAATATCTAATATAATTTAATAGTGTTTCTTTAATCAAATTTTGGATCAACGAGGATCGATATTGTCGCGATGATGGTGATAATGATGGTGATGATGATGATGATGATGATGATGGTGATGAAGCAGCAGCATCCGACGATCTTTTCTCGCTCGACCAGCAGTTTATCGAGTAATGTGATCCGACGTATCGGTTTAACCGCGGTTCACGGCGCATTTGCAAACGGTAGCCGCACTGATTAAAATAAAAGAGATAAAACGACTTGAAAGAGAGAGAAAGAGAGAGAGAAAGAGAGAGGAAAAGTAGCAAACTATCTTGGAAGCTATGAGCGCTCTTCATTCATCTCTTTATCGATTAAATTCATCTTCGCCTTTGCGAATTCCGTCTTCTTCTTTTTATCACTTCTTTTTTATTTATTTTTCTCTTTTTTTTTTTCACCACTTGCATACACTACACGCACTATCAAGTTCTATCCCGTCGTTGATTAATAAAATCCAAATATATATATATTTTTTTTTCTTTTTTTTTTTTTTTTTTTTTTATGAAGTACTTCGTTCAATGTTCCTGCTCTCGAATCGATTGAAAGGATCGATGAATTATATCGTACATATTATCATATAGAGTTCACATTATTAATTAGTAAATGTTAATAGTTCGATCGGTCAATGAAATATTAATCGATCATAGGGAGGATCGATATTTTGCAACATTTAAATTGCAAATGTAATGAAGAATTATTTTTTTTCTTTATATATATATATATATATATAGATATATATATAGTTGATCCAAATAACATAGAAATTTATTTAGGACTAATGTGCATCTTTAATAAGCGCAATTCCTCTCTCCTCGAATGAACGCATATCTCTTCCTCGACGTTGCATATACACATACATACACAGACACACAAGCACACACACGCACTGTGTGTTTACTTTTCATTCTATTTTTCTCTCTGTCAGCATCGTCGTCTCTTATAGAGAGTCTCCTTCTCTCCTTCAATCGTGAAAGGGCTCCTTTGTGTGAATAAAGGAGCCACGAATGGAGTCGCGTTATCGTCAAAAATTGAACGCCGTTCGTTCAGTACTGCAAACGTGAAACGCATTCCTGATCGTAAAAATGGAAATAAGAGGAAGGAACGCAATGGTTATGTTTGTGCGTGTATTATATATGCCAGTAAAATTCAAGCGAAGAAACGTCGTGTTCAATAGTTTCCATTTTAGGTTTCTTTTTGAAATCTTTTTTATTCGAATTTGAAATGATGTCACATTCTTTCGTTTTATTTTTCTTTATTTATTTATTTACTTTTCTTTTCTTTTCTTTTTTTTTTTTTTTTTTGTTTATTTCTCTCTATCCCCTCGTCTCATGAAATGTCAAGAAAAAAAATCCAAGAGAAAGAAGATCTTTTAGATTTATTGAGACAGTTTTTTTTTTTTTTTTTTTTTCTTTTCTTTTTTAACCAGTCGAAATTTCTTTACGAGGGAAGTAACCTCGGCATTATTTAAGTAAAAAATTTCGTTTCAAAAATTTAACGAAGGAAAAAGGAAATACATATATATATATATATATATATATGTATCGGCCGACATCTTAACGCATAGTCTAGACATGCATTCTTCATTCTTGTTTGCGAATAGAATAACGAACGACTGAGAGAAACATGTGGCCAGATCAAAAGCTGCGCGGCTCTCGCGTGCGTCTTTTTTTCCCTCCTTTTTCACCGTGTTCGACGTATGTTCTCTCGACGGTGAAAAGCCGCCGGAAACGCAAACACAACACACCGATCTCTGTTTCCTGGATCCGTCAAATGATACGAGACGAGGTTCGATTCCTCGAACATATCGACAAACATATATATATATATATACGTATATGTGTATGTGGCGAGTATATATATATATATTTAAATATAGATAACGAGTTTGTTTTCTATTTTTAAACTTCCCGGGTGTTTTCGAAGAAGTCAAATTGCTGATAGTATTAGAAATTGGCGGGAAAAAATAGGATTCTAAGGTTTCTTCACGGTTTTTGTTTTCTCTTTTTTCTTTTTCTCTTTTTTTTTTTTTTTTTTTTTTTTTTTTCTTTTTTTATTCTCTATCATATTAAGAACAATCACAGTCGTCTAACAGTGATATCTTTTTTTTGTTCTTTTGCGCCGCAGAGATGGCGACGCAAGGTAAGTCCCCCCTTAAAATAAATAAGTATTGGTTTTCTTTTCCTTTCTTTTCTTTTTCTTTTTTTTTTCTTTATTTTCTTTTTCTTCTTTTTTTTTTTTTTTTTTATTATTTTTTAAGCGAAAGCAGCAATTGTTCGTCAGCTCGAAAAAAAAAAGTTTTTTCTCGTAAGCTCGCTCGAAACTATTTACTTACTTCTATGTGGGCGTAGTAGTTCAACGTTGAAAGAGAGAGAGAATGAGAGAAAGAGAGAGAGAAAGAGAGAGAGAGAGAGAGAGAGAGAGAGAGAGAGAGAGAACGACGAACTCGCGCGTTACTATTCCCGAATGATCGTTTTCTATATCGAGTTGAGATAGAGCTTGGAATCGGAGATACGTATAATATAGAGACGGAATAGTAGTAGTAGTTTAGTAGTAGTAGTCAGTAGTAATCAGTAGTAGTAGAAAGAGAAAGGACAGAGATAGGAGAAGGAGGGAGAGAAAGAGAGAGAGAGATAGGAGAATAAATAGCTTGTTCATGCGAAAGTGCTGCGACTAATAGTAAAAAGGATAAGATTTGTCGATATCAGTATTCTTGTCCAATCCATTTTACACATTCCTTTGAAGTCTGCTTTCCCATTTGGAATGTATTATACATATATATACAATGTCCTTTGGGATGCATTCTGCATTCTCTATTAGCCCTTCGAACTTTTTCCACAAAGATCTGAAAAAGTATTTATATCTTTATTCTAAAGGATTTCCTTACACTTGTTTTCTCTTTAATTTAAAACGTAAAAGAAATAAAGAAAGAAAAGATAAAAAGTAAAAAGAAACGAAATAATAGGACATTCCTTAAGAAAATATTGTATATTTCTATGGGAACTCGTGCTATCTTCGTCGTTCTAACTCTTACTCGCTAAAATTCTTTTCCTTTTTCTTTTTATATTTTTGTTCATTACGAAATTGAGGTCACACTGCACGTTACATTCGCTTTTTCATAAAAAAAAAAAATAGAATATTAATAATAATTGTTAATATATATATTTAATCTCTTGTATGTGAAGTGTAGAAAACTGCATTAACGATACGAGATTATTGCGTAGACTGTTTTATCGACCAAGCTCGTACGCTTTTCACTTTTTCGATAGTAGATGGCGTTGAACGTACTCATTCTAAGCTAATTCATTCATAGTAGATTTTTTGAATGACTACGTAGTACGAGAAATACGTAGGAGTCCTTTATGAATGAAATCGTTTGTATATTCATAATATTTATACGAAAATGATTAATTTATTGATTTTATCGCTTTTATCGATATCATTTGTTTCATTTTTCATAGAGATTAATAATTAATACGGGCATTGCACGTATGCGGATGCATGCTTTCGTTAAGTGCTTGCTTATTATAGGCGCTATCTTTGCATCGAATTTCTAATCGTAGATAACAACAAACGCTTACGTTCGTTCTACTTGAACATTTGTTAATGTTACGATTTTATTGTTTAAATTAGAATTAATTAACTTTTAATGCTTCGCAATTCTTCGTGTTGATTTATTATTGCATATGATAGTGTTAAGAAAAAAAAAAAAATAAAAATAAGAAAATTATACGTTAAAATAAGGAAAAGATCAAGAAACCATGCATTCCTCCCCCCTCTTAAAAAAATAGAAAAAATAAAAA